TTGCCAACTTTTTAATACGTAATTACTTTTTAAAGCATTAATGTTTTCATTCGGTAGGCGTTGAAGCGTATTGACCTTTTTGCATTGAGTCATGTATTTTGGAAAACAATAAATAGTTATAATTAAAATAATAAGTTCACACCTACAATTTGTAATCGACTCAACCTAAAAAATATGGAAAATTGATCAGACAATGACAACAAAACCCTTTTCACATAGGACTACAGATAAAAACGGGATAATCTTGGGAAATCAGGGCTCAATCAATCTGTGAAGGATTTCAGTGCACATCTTAGCACTTCGACGAAAACCTGTGACTCAGGGAAACGTATTTTATTGTTTGGGTCATTACGTTTAAATTTACGCACAAGACTTACGGCACTCGTGTCATTCGGGAACTACCTATAGTGGCCACTGTAATTACGATGTTCAGAAGAGACAGAAACATGTATAAGTTGTGTTATATGTAGCGTAATGAAATTAAATCAGTGTTTAATGAACACTACGAGATGTTATATTTCCCAGGATTTGGCTTAATGTCCCAAGTATTAGTTAGAACTATATTTTTATTTTAAACCTATTATTTTCTATTTTATTACAGTAGGTACGTTTAAATGTTCAGTACGTTAAAATCTATCTACTAATTGCCTCCAACGTGTGTGTCCTGAATATTAATGAAAGTCGTATATCAGGAGAAAAGTATAATAAAATAGTAGGTATAATAACCACCTGAATTTTAATGCCCATCCTTCATTTAAAGCTAAATATAAGTATAATGAAAACCAAGCCGCTCCATGATTGAATGATGTTTTTTATTATGGAATTATTACTGAAGCACTTAAATTTTTACGACGAGTCTCCTGATCGACCACCGACGCATTTAATATGAAGACGTAACTTGAATCTATCGACAGATCGACGAATGGAATGCAAATGCAGTTCAAAACGCATATTTTGTTGATCAAGTGATATTATAATAGTGTTTCATCCTAATTTAATATATTTGGTTTATGACTGACCGTAATTCAGATAAAGAAAACATAGTCTTAGAAATTAAGAAATAATTGAAACCAACGCACGTCATCTTTAACTTGCATTAAACATTAAACCTTTTACAAATTGTTAATTTTATTAACCTTTGAAGGCTTAAATTACGCTTATTACTATCGAAGCTTTCGTGTTTCTATTAATTTATTATTTTTAACGGTAAATGTAAGTACGTATGACAAACTACCTCCTGTAAAACTGTGCATTAGCAATAAAGAAAGCCCTCACACCCGATCATCTCAATGAAGATATAAACACATGTTTTTATGGCGATTGTAACGCAATTTCTCGATGGAACACACACGATGCCACCACGGTAGGTGGAGATTGGTCCGGATCCCCAGTAAAATATAAATTGCTGTCGATATTATATTATGTGGGAGAAAAAGTGAACAACAAGTTGGTAGCATTATGAAGATCGTTTGTATTGATGTCTCCAGACAATTGGTTTTTATATATTAAGGTTTTAATCTCTTGAATGCTTTATGTTTCATTATTTAATTATGGATTTTATTGAACTTATGATTTAAAAATAAATTTAGCAAATTTATAACCTCCAATATCGGTGTAAAAATATCATAACATTAATCCAGTAGGTAAATGTTTTTTAAAGATCAATTCAAAATTATTCTGTTTATGCCAAATGAAGAATGATATTGAAATATTTAATTAAGATATTTTCAATGCACAGAAGATTTTACCCATTGTTAATAAGGCTAAGGAAGGAACGACCCAATGAAGGAAACTGAACGTTAACGTTATTTTATCTCGACTTCTTTCGAAGTCTGTTAATAATTGATTATCAACAAAGCTATACCTAAACACTCAAGCTAAGCTGCACCTATTGTGGCTGCACGGTTAAAAATAAAAAGCCGTTTATTTTGAAACTGTCGGCCCGTCTGCGCTGTCTTTAATTACCACTGGATATTTATATCGGGCAAGCACACTAACGCTCCTTATTTTCATTGCTGGGTAAACAATTTGTTTTATAGTTTCTTTTGATTCGGGTAACATATCAATCTGTGATTAATTTTCAGCTTTTAGATACCTACATTGTTGTGGACGTTATTTTAGTACTTACACTTATGATATTTTTCTGTCAGTAAATAATGTAAGTGTTTCTTTATATTTACTCTGTTCCATTCTAAAAAAGCTTAGGATAAATACTTATTAGTTGAGCAGTTGGCTAACAATAGCGCCTCAGAGGTACCTTTTTGGCACAAGTAACGCCATCTGTATTTTACCTGTGGAACTTAAAATTAAAGCCTTACCTTTTAAGTGTACTTTTGTCTTTCTCTTTTTGTGATAAAGAATATCAGAAAAATTTGTTGATTGTAGATTGAGACACTCTGTATTTTAGAGAACTTCAACAAGATTTTTCTTATCAAACGAACAAACTGCATCAAGAGTTTGTTGTGACTGTAAAACTGTGATAAACTTTCACAAACATTACAAGATTTTCTTCACTTGTATTTTTACGAAAACTCTGTATATGTATATATTAAAACAATATAAAGGTCCCCGACGACTCACTGCTTCTCAGAAAACTTTAAATTGAGAGCATCCATATTCTTAATTAGCCATACTCCTTTCAGCTTAGCAATACTGCTTAAGAGTGCTCAAGACGTAACAGGTAATGAATCTCCGACCTTCGGCTCTTCACATTATTGGATAATTGTTTGTCATTCGTTCGTCTCCAACGACACTGTTCTGAGTCACTTGGCTGCCAGCCAGTTCACCTCACCTGTGATGTTCCAATTCAGTTTCCGTTCAGGATGTGGTCCCTAGCTCCCAGACTATTTATATGAGGTGACGATGTATTTGATTAGCCACGGTCTACGCTCGTAGACTGATTTTTAGTAGGTGTTTTGCCGAGGTCTGATGTAATCGGCACTTGAGGTGACATGGTGATCTATGACAGCTTAGAGATATTCCATTAAATACACGAAAATACTTACGAGTCTTTATTTTGTGTGGACTAATAAAAACTGTAATACAGCGTGGGCTTCAAAACTTAGCAAAATGGCCTGTGAGGAAAGCTATAAGTAGTCTGTAAGTAGGCACTTCTGAAATGTGACGCATTTCCTTAAGACGTGCCTATTTACTTTGGCAGCTCTAAGCTACTTTCATCTGACGTAATTGCCACTTTCGTCGGTAGAAATGGCGTAAATACCCATTCATAAATCCAAAACTGCTGGTTAAAGACCTGTGACGTTTAGTCGCTTAGCGTGGGTGGTAGGATTGGCATGAATGTCAATGATCCCCCATTCATATCGGTTTATGGCATTTCATTCACTCGTGACGAACGTTACCGAATTGCTGCGTAACGCCTACATTCGATTTTAGTGAAAAACTTGGAGAGTACCTATTGAATAGCAACTAGGTACTAATTCACATGGCAGAAAATATATTGTCTTTTACTTTATATATTATAGGTACGGTGATATTGGAGATTTGTCGCGTAAAAAGTGACCTACTTTGCTTACTTTAAAATTATGAGAAAACTAAAAAGACACGTGAGAACACGACATTTCATTAGAAAAAGTATCAAAAGGTAAAATCTGGAGATAACAATTGCAGAGAACCTCTCCAATTTCAAACTTTCATTCTCACAAGCAAATGGGTGATAGGTATACGTATCATCGGTCTTTAATCATGCTGAAGGAACTTAAAGATCATCATAATAGTTTTATCTTACGATGAGGTACAAACGAGGAGCAGGTTTCTAATGCATTCTACGAAATATCACTATACGTTTGATCTACAACTAACCCAACCACTTTGATAAAACAGCGATCAGAGAACCATCAGACGATTAATCTGGTTACTGAAAGTTATGAATGAAACGGTGATTAGGTAGGTTCAATGGGTGACGTCATTACAATGACGTCATAATAATATATCTACTGATGAATATTTTGTGTGGTTTGGTAATTTAGAAATCCTGTCGGGTTGTTGTACTAATAGTTTAATCCACTTTCAGAGAAATTTTAATTGTTGATAACAAAATCAACTTTACATCCTCAAAATTAATTATCTACCTATGATATTATAATATTACAATTGTTATCATTGACTTCATCATCTAGGCAGAAGCTCAATAACAATGACATTGTCCGCATTCAATCAAGGTCTGCCTGCCTATAGATATCTTTTTATTACAACCTAGATACAATCTAATTGTAGTATTGTAGGAAGAGATGCAGCTGTTACAAAACTCTACGTAACGCGGCTCGGTGCCAAATTTTGTTAACGTTTGGTCAAAGTGAACAAAATAGGCACATTTCTATAAAGTTTTCATCAACCGCGAGGCGCCTGGAAGCTGAATTCATATAAAAATATGTGTCCAACAAAAATGAGTTTGGGGTTTCGCAATCCTATCTATTCCGACAGACATTAAGGATGACACATCCTAAAGAAATAGTTAATGATTTACTACGAACGCTTTTCGTTTTTTTTCGCGTTACACACTGAAGCACAGCCAATTTTTTTCTCGTCGCCCGTGGATGGGATGTTGTCCAAACGAGTCCCGTTTAGATAATACAAGTTTATTTTGGTTCTTACATATGTTACTCGTCACACAAAATAATAAGGCCATTGGCCTAATGACAGCGGCTTATTTTTAGTTCGGGACTTTTGAAGGCGACATGCTTAATGTCAGTAGAGTGGAGATACGAACTTTTCCAATTTCCTCTATGTGTTTTAATTTTGCAATGACGTACAATTATTGCAACTGAATTTAGGTTATTGGATCTCGACTACTGGGAATTGGATTAATGATGGACGTGTTAAAATATTAGATCCCACTCAAACTTTCGAGAAGATTACTAAACTGATGATTATTATCGTCATTGTCATGATATTTTTTATTTTATATTTGATACTTGATATTGTATGTTTTTTCGTGTATTCTTGATGTTCAAATATCTGTAACAGGCGAATTCTTTCTCCAGGTAGCCCAGCACGCGTAGAACCAATGCAGTCTGTGCGGACGACACGAGGCAACCGGGTGCGACTGGAGTGCAAGGCAAGCGCACGGCCACCCCCTCGCATCTCATGGTATAAGGACGGAAAACCCGTCGCCGATATCGCGCTGAGGAGATTCCGGGTGCAGAATTTCAGGTAAGATATTGGCTTTGGAAACAATTGTAATTTCTATTTGGTATTATTGTGATATGAGACGTATCAAGCATATCTGTAGCATATCTATAGTCATAAAGTTTGCGCTTGTATCAGTTCTCGTAACTACAATCATAATAATGACCATTAATACTCAGTAAACGCATATTAAATCTTAAGTATGTATCTATCAAACCACTACCGTAATGACCTAGTTGACTTTAAGCAATGTTGATCTTGATCCAAAATGAGAGCATGTTTGTGTACTATAGAAGTACTCACATCCAGCTAAATAGTAACAATGTTGTTTGCAAACAAATGAGGCATGCACTCATATGGTGCTAACATTAAATGCAACGATTACTAAACTAATCGCAACTGCAGACAGCTGTCATTGACCGACCTGGAAGTGCATCCTCAAATACTTTTGCTGTCCTATCAAGCAAGAATCAACCTTACCGAGAAGTTTTAAAGTTTGCGCGAAATCTTTGGGGGACAAAATGGATGTAGGAGTAATTATTATGATTGAGCGCTACGGACAATTTCATGGGCTGTTGGGCATTTTGATGATGATTTAGATATTTTGCACAAGACGGCTGTTTTCAATTAATGCTACCCAGTATGGCATCGCTTTGTGATTCTTTGTCACACATTTTATCAAGCCGATTAATAGCATGAAGACATTACGAAGGTTTTCTTGGGCCTAGTATAATAAAATGATCAAAGTTACTACGTTGTCATGGAAATATGATGTTTTAATTTATCGTCTGCAAAATATTTCAGGAGGCGCTCGGTACTAGTGATAAGGCACGCGCGCAGTGAAGACTCCGCATCGTACGAATGCAGGGCACAGGGCGCTGTAGGCCCACCGGCCATCGCCAGCGCTAACGTCAGCGTTCTACCTCCAGTCACAGCTGCGCCTGATGACGCGAGTAAGTTGCCCCTCTTATTAGCTGGTCAACTTCCTTCCAATTCTAGCTCATTCAATTTTGTTATATCATTGATTCATGCGGATTTTGAGGAACGACTCCTGATCGTGAGCAGTTAAGCTCATTTATAGCGTTGTTATTTAAACTGTAGTTTTCTACAAATCTCGACGCTCAGCCCAATCGTGAGCAATTTACATTTAATCACCAATTAATTTCAGTCAGACGTGTAAATATTATCTTTTGTAGTTTCCGTTGTACTTGATGATTTGGTTCAAATGTCAATGGGTATAACGTATAATGTGATGTGAGTAGCTACTCAAGTCCAAGTAGTCGCATTGATTCAACAGTATCGACCGGTTAACAAAGGAAAATATCAAACCGTGTCACATTGTTTACCGATGCTCATACCGTTGTACTGGGAACACTTGGGAAACTCGCTGATTCTTCCGCGAACCTCGCTTAAAACAATGTCTGCATACAGGCCAATAGGGTGATCAGTTACATTGTATAACGAGGTTTTTGTATTATCTGTTTGTCTTCTGTTGGGTACTAACAGGATTGGCTGCTAGCAGTTACAGTCGAAGCAATCAATTACGTCGCATTTTGATTTTACCTACAAATTCAATGTCAATGTGATTTATTGATTTTATATCATCCGTTAAGCCATTTCAATAAAAAAATGTTTTTCTTTTTTCAGCGACGCTGGGCTCGCCATGTCCGATGCCCGACCCGTCGTCATACTGCCTCAATGGAGGCACCTGTTTGTTCTTCGAAATCGTTCAGGAACAAGCTTGCAAGTAAGTACAATAACAATAGGTGAAATCAGAATGAAGAGCTATAATACAATAAACACGGGTTTCATAAACATTTTCTGACATAATTGTTTGTTTTACTTCAGATGTCCGGAAGGCTTCAACGGGCAGCGTTGCGAGAACAAGGATATTTCGAATAGAAGCAGTATGTCCCATTCCTACACATGTAAACTGGGCCTCTCGATCACATATTACTGTTAGCCAGCGAAGCGCAGGCGCATAACCCACCTCGTTCCAATTTTAAATTTAAAATTTTTAGCTCGCGACTTTCCGACGCACTCGGCTGGACTGAGAAAACTTCTACGTTTTACGAGATATCTGCATCTATTTGTAGATTAACATAATATTTTTTTAAATTATCAATGTTAAATACGTTTTTATATGTTTCATAATTTATACTAATGGTATCGCAATTTTGTTTGGTATGCTACCATTTGTTTTATGACTACAGTTTTATAGTTTTCACAGCCCTAAAGCCCAGTGATTCCATCGCGAACGTTTGTAGGAAAAAAAATACGAGAATAATGATTGCAAATACGAACTGTCACAAATATTGCGACAGTGTATGCTGAATACTTAGGATTTAGTAGGCAGCCGTGCGTGGCATTTGTAAATAATAATTTAATCAATCTGTTTTTATGAACCTCGAGTCTGAAAATTGATTTGAATACGCTAACTTATTCATTTATATTTGTTAATATATCTATCACTCTATATACTTTTTTTAATCAGCAACATTTTAACTGCACGGAGCTTTAAATTATTTACGAGTACTTACACTATAGCCCAATGAGATTTTACACTTTATTTCCACTTAATAACTATAATTATTTTATAATTGAACTGATTTTTCGTAACATTTCACGAATTTCATCTTTTTTTCTTTCGTGATAACAGTAAGTCTATTGTAAGACTTGAATATTGTATGTATGAACTATTGCAAAATGTGTTATTTCTTTAACATTTTCCTAGAAGCGATGACTTTTGCAATCCATTATTTCTTCTGTTATTGAAGATGTAAATATTTTAAACATTATTTGTAATATTTGCAATTTATTATTGTTATTATTAACTGTAAGGTTTGTGTACGGTTAAGCAACCGCACATTGTACTTTGATTTGGCCTAGTTAGAATACTGCAAATTATGTTAATTTATAATAAAATATAAGATAGTCACGTACTCAAGTAGGCCAGTCTTCGGTATAATATCGAGCTCGCGCAACATTTAACATTTTAACATTTTTTATAACATTTTTAATTAATTTCTTTTTATTTTAGTGCATTTTCGTATTAAAATACCTTTTTAAACATTAACATTTATTTTATTAACATCCAACATTAACTGTAAGGGTTCAAGCCCTTACATTTTGGTCCTTCGAGCCGTTAAGTGTAAAATCAGTGCCGTGGTACGGTTTCACTCGCGGGAACATTTGAACATTAAACTCAGACATTAATCAGAACATTCAACAGAACATTACAAACAGTGTGATCAGTGATAATCAGTGAGAGTACACAGAACGAGGTGAAGTATAAGCAGCAGGCAGTAAGCAGCGAATCCGGTGAGCACGTTCCATATTACCTAAATTTCTAAAATTTTGGATTTGTGAACCGCGAAACAACAATGTCTTCTTACGATGCTTTACTTGACTCTCAATCGGACAATCTTAACGCTATTAAACGTATAAATGAAAACTTTAAGAAAGATAGTCCTACACGAAAAACCACTCTTGAGTATCACGATGAAAGACTTCAGAAGCTGGAGGAGTATTGGAGTGACTTTAAAAACAACGACATCCAATTAGCCTTATTTGAAGGCAAGAAGTCTGGACCTTATTATGAGAATCGCGTTTACGAGCGCTTGGAACAAATATACGAAGAGACGAAGAGTATGATAAATAAGTCGAAACAAAGATTATTGGCGAAAATCGAAGACGATAAATTTACTTCGTTTACTCAGTTGCAACAACAAGAAGAAAGGTCGAGTGCTCAAGAGGTGGTTAAAGAACAACGGGAACGAGAAGAGGTCACATATGATGTGAAGAACACGACGTCAAATGAAGAGTTAGTCGTTGATCAACGGACTAAAGATATGTTAAATGAGCAGCGGTCAAACATCAAGGCGTTTGAGCGAACAATACGTAACATGGACATTGAAAATTTGAAAGAAAAGTGGCAACTTGAAGATAAATTGAGGTCAGTTACGCAACGTTGGGAAAAAGTCGATACGACGTATTGGAAGCTGGATAACATATTAGTCAACATGCAAGCATTTGAAAGTGATTATAACAGACTAGAAAGGCTGTATGAATTCAGTAAGGAACAAATTAACAAGAAGATTTGGGAGAACAAACACCAGGAAAAATCCACGCCTCAAATTGAACTACCGATTTTCAGTGGCAGCTATGCCCAGTGGACAACATTTAAAGACTTGTTCGTGGAAATCGTGCATCGTAACACTTTTATTTCTAACGCTCAAAAAATGCAACATTTAAAGGCAAAGTTAAAGGGAGAGCCCGAGCGATTAATACAGCACATGAACATTAGTGCTGACAACTACGAAGCCAGTTGGCGGATTCTTCAGCAGAGGTACGACAATAAGAGACTGTTATTTACCTACCAAGCCAACATGTTACTGAGTCTACCCAGCATACAAACCCCAACGGCATCACTACTGAAAAGAATGCATGACACAACCATTGAGTGCCTTCAGGCTATTCAGAACCTGAAATATGATACTTCCAGTTGGGATCCTTTAGTGGTTCACATTTTAATGCAAAAGCTAGACGCAGACACATGCCAGTCCTTCAAAGAATCCATGGAAAAACCAAAGGAAATGCCATCATTAAACGAGTTACTGAAATTCATCGAAACAAAGTTTATGTCAATGGAATCGGGTGCAAATCCGAACCGCCCGCGGAACTCTAACAGTCAACAGCAAAACACTCAGCCGAAAACAGTACATAATGCAACATACAGCAAGCCTAAAGCGCAGCAACAGACCAGTCCAGGTGGAGCTAAGAACATGCCGAGAACATACCACAACAAACAAACATCTCATCATTCTTTTATAACTTGTCCTAAATGTAATAAGCAACACGGTCTCTATAATTGCAGAGAATTTTTAAGTATGTCACCAGACGAAAGGTTAAAAACCGCTAACAACCTACATGTATGTCTAAATTGCCTGTTTAGTCATAACGGCGAAAAATGCACGTCGGAAAAAAGGTGCAAGCACTGCGATGAGTCGCATAGCAGCATTTTACATGACGCGATTGGACTTGCGAAATCGAAAACTAACAGAGTTAATGTAGGTCAACAAGTAAACACGCATTTAGCTCATGACAACTCGAATGAGGTATTACTAGCCACTGCCCAGGTCAAGACAATAGCCAATGACGGAACTATTGTCATTTTACGCGCTTTATTGGACCAGGGCTCTCAGGTCAGCATCATTACAGAAAATGCTGCACAAAAATTGCAGTTAAAACGGGAAAGGATGAGCGCGGTGGTGTCAGGTGTTGGTGCTTCAGCCACCACCAACTGTAAAGGAGTGCTCCATCTCAAATGCCAAGCGATATACAACAATTTTAACATTAACATTAATGCGTTTATTATGAAGAAAATAACAAACAAACTGCCAAGTAAGACAATAAATAAAGATAGTTTTGAACATTTACAACATTTGCAACTCGCTGATCCAGATTTTAACATATCTCAGAATATAGATTTACTATTGGGAGCAGAGGTATATTCTGAAATATTGTTAGAGGGGCTACTAAAAACAAACACGTCATCCGTTATAGCACAACAAACACATTTAGGCTGGATAGTATGTGGTAATTACAAAACATTTAATTGCCATGTAATTGTCAACAACATTCAGGATCTTGCCCAATTCTGGGAACAGGAGTCTTTGCAAGAAGAGAAAGAAGATTTCGACCCAGACAACAAGTGCGAACAGCTGTACAAAGAGACAACAACGCGACTTCCTGATGGACGATACCAAGTTCGTCTCCCCCTCAAGGACAATTTTATTGAACAATTAGGAACATCGAAACCACAGGCCATCGCTCAATTTCAACAGCTAGAGCGAAGGATGGTTAAAAACTGTGCGTTTGCAAAGAATTATAAGGCCTTTATGGAAGAATATGAAGAAATGGGTCACATGGAGAAAGTCGTAAACAACACTGAGAACAACAACATGGAATATTATCTTCCACACCATGGGGTAGTGCGGCCAGGTGCTATCACAACGAAACTTAGAGTTGTGTTCAATGCATCGGCGAAAACAAGTTCAAAACGCAGTCTTAATGACTTAATGGAGGCAGGACCGAACCTACAAAAAGATATTTTTAGTATCTTGCTGAAATGGAGACAATACAAATATGTCTTAACATCAGACATTGAAAAAATGTATCGATTTATAATGGTGCATCCAGAACATCAACCTCTACAGAAAATAGTGTGGAGGGATTGTCCACAGCAACTGCTAAGAGAATATCAACTATGTACAGTTACCTATGGTACCAAGGCCGCTCCATTCTTAGCACTCCGAACACTTCAACAGCTAGCAAAGGACGAAGGTGACAGGTACCCGGAGGCTAAAAACATCCTACTCAACCAATTTTTTGTAGATGATGCGTTATTCGGAAAGGATACCATGGACGAGGTCCGAGATACAAGAGACCAACTTATACAGTTATTAAAGGAAGGAGGGTTCAATCTCAGAAAATGGTCGAGTAACGAACGTCAACTGCTAGAAGATCTGCCAGAACATATGATTAGTCCAGTCAGTTTAACCTTTACTGAGGCATCAGCGTCTAAAACATTAGGCTTGGCATGGAATCCGAAACAAGATGAATTTATATTTTCAACCACACTAAAAAACAAAACCGAGTCGGAAACCAACAACAAGTCGTCCAAACGGCAAATCTTAAGCGACATATCAACAATTTTTGATCCATTGGGGTTATTATCGCCAATTACAATCAAGGCAAAAATCTTATTCCAACAGATCTGGAAGTACAAAATCGAATGGGATGATACTGTTCCAGATGAAATAGAAAAGGAATGGAGAACATTAAAAACAGAATTAACAAACATGCAACCTTTCAAAATTAACCGATGGCTTGGATTAAGAGCGAACAAGAATTGTGAATTACACGCATTTTGTGACGCATCAGAAAAAGCGTTCTCGTGCGTAGTATACAGTAAGATTACTGAAGGAAAACAGCAACAGATTGCATTGGTTGCGGCAAAAACAAAGGTCGCTCCAATACAAAAACATCAAACACTCCCCAGACTTGAGTTATGCGGCGCTCACCTGTTAGCTCAACTGGTAAATAAAATAAAACTTTGCTTTGATAAGCCTAACATTAAAGTAACAGCTTGGACGGACTCGATGATCGTACTTGGCTGGCTAAAGGGAGATGTCTCGCGATGGAAAGCCTACGTCGGACACAGAGTTCAAGAGATCATATCTGTAGTGCCCGCAGGGAGTTGGAAGCACGTGAGATCGGAACAAAACCCGGCTGACTGTGCGTCACGTGGACTACTGCCGTCTCAGTTGCACAACTTTCCTCTGTGGTTTAATGGACCTGAATGGCTTAACAGTGAAACCATTCCTGAAACACATGACACGATAAAGATGCCTGAAATAGAACTAAAAAGGGTGCATGCAGTTACGTTACAAACTACCGAAAACAAAAACATTAACTTTGTAACTGAACTACTTAACAAAAACAGCTGTATTATGACTATAATACGCATCGTAGCTTGGGTGTCGCGTTTCATAACAATCACGTCGCAAGGCCGTCGGCACGGGGAAGACGCAGCTATGGATCATCCAAACATGAATGACCCGGCCGCGTCAAAACAATGTAATTTAACACTCTCTGATATTCGATGCGCTACTAACATAATAATAAAACATGTACAAAACGAATATTACGAACAAGAAATCCATGAATTAAAGACTAAAGGAAGGATAAGCAAAAATATAGGACTCCAGAAACTGTACCCTTACCTGGATAAAAATAACATATTACGGGTCGGAGGGAGACTACAGAATTCAAACTTACCAGAAGAAACAAAACACCCAGCTATCATCCCAAAAAACAGCAAACTGGCGTATCTTTTAGTTGCCCGTGCGCATGCTACAACACTACATGGTGGAGCGAGACTAACTACGGCTACATTGAGACAGAAATACTGGATCACAGGAGGAAATAACACTGTGAAAAAATACCTGCAAGACTGTGTTAAATGTTGTCGCTTCAAACCAACCAAACAATACCAATTAATGGCTGACCTACCCAGGGAGAGAATAACACAATCACCACCATTCTATCACACAGGTGTGGACTTCACAGGGTTTGTTAATGTTAAATTAAACAAGGGCCGGGGCGTCAGAACGAGTAAAGGTTACGTCGTTGTATTCGTGTGCATGACAACAAAGGCGGTGCATTTAGAACTTGCATCAGATTTATCATCGCAAACATTTATACTGGCTCTCAACCGCATGATTGGGCGACGAGGCTGTCCAAAACATATTTATTCGGACAACGGAACAAACTTTGTTGGAGCCGAAAGGGAGTTAGCCAAACAACTGCATATATCCCAAACATTTAACAACGACACCTTATCGAAAAAGTGTAACGAGATGGGGATAGAGTGGCATTTCAACGCCCCAAGCTGGCCGACTGCGGGAGGACTTTGGGAGGCTGCAGTTAAGTCTATGAAATATCACCTAAAGCGTGTCCTAGGAGAGCAAAAGTTGACATACGAAGAGTTTCTAACACTTCTTACGCAAATAGAAGCCTGTATGAACTCTAGACCACTTTGCCCCTTAACAGAGGATGTAGACGATATTGATTACCTTACACCTGCACATTTTTTAATTGGCCGACCTTTAACATTCTTACCTACGGAAAATATCGAAAATAAAAACATCAACATTCGACATAGGTGGCAGTTGTTAGACAAAATGAAACAAGGGTTTTGGAGCAAATGGTCATCAGAATACCTGCAACAACTTCAAGTTCGTAGTAAATGGCTTAACAAAACAAATAATTTATCAATAGGGGATATTGTCTTAATTAAAGAAGACTGCCTTCCTCCTGCGAAATGGGCACTTGGCAGAATACAGGAAGTTCACCCTGGGAAGGACAATCTGGTCAGAGTAGTGACGTTAAAAACTAAAACAGGACTACTAACAAGACCAATAACAAAATTAGTGAAACTCCCAGTACCAAATTCTCCTATAGAAGTACCTGACACCACCACCTCCAATGACAAAAGCTGCAGTGAACCACAAAAGGCTGTAACAAATAATACTAAACAACGTTTTAAATCAAGCAAGATAAGTTCCAGCCTGCTATGTATCCTCGTAACATTGCTAACATTATTTCAGCCCACAAGGCAGAGCAGTGACGGCATAAACGTCACGCCGTTTGAACCAAATAGAGGGGTGTATTTTGACAAAATCGGCAATTTGCAAACCGTACATGATGACTGGAAGATAGTAACTTATTATAACATGACAACTTACTGGCAAGGCATGGAAAATATACATAGAGTTGTGAAACACCTAGGAGAAAGATGTGAGCAATTTGCTTACCAAACGCTGTGCAAAACAATTATGACTGAATTCGAACAGGAACTCAATGAACTAGATCATAACAACTACATGTTAGAAACTCATCATGGGCAAACCAGGGGGCGCGTTACCCGAGGCCTCGTCGATGGAGTAGGTTACCTTGCAAACAGCCTATTCGGCGTGCTAGATGAAAGGTTCGCAACACAATATAAAAAGGACATAGAAACATTACATAACAACAGAGACCATTTATTAAATCTGATCAAAAGTCAAACCTCAATAATTGAGGCACACAATAACATTTTAAAGAGAAACGAAGAAGCAATGAACTCTCAGTTCAATCTATTAGAGCAACACCTTAATGCAACAGAGAACTATCTAAAGAAATTGAACGAAGCTGTTCAACAAGACGAAGCGCTGAACTACTTTAACATCATGGCTCTGACAAGTTCAACAATTCTGTCCAAACTCCGCCACATACAACAGATGCTGTTAGACACAGCTATTAACATTCACCATGGTCATGTAGACACCAGACTTTTACCGCAGAACCAACTCTTTCAGGAGCTTAACATTATATCTGGACAATTGCCACAACAATTATCGCTACCCGTTGACAACATTCAAAACCAATTAGCCGATATTTACAAACTACTTGAAGTAAAATCTAGATTATTTGATAAGTATTTCATCATCGAAATAACATTACCACTAACGGGCGACACCCCATTCACTATATATAAAACAATTCCCATTCCTATGATCAAAAATAACAACCAGTCAATTACAATGAAAACTAACTCAGAATATGTTGCAGTAAATGTGAGAAAAGAGACATACATGCAGCTAACAAACAGTGACCTGGAACATTGTATTAAAATAGAACCAAGGACATATGTATGCTCACTGAACAAACCAACACGCAACATGCGAAATCATCAAATTCCATGCGAAATCGGCGCAATAACAAATATTACATTATCAAAATGTATCTACACATCCGAGTCGTGCAACAACAAATGGATAACATTACAAAAACCAAATACCTGGCTCTATGTCTGCTGCACGGATTGTCAACTGCAGATCATCTGTGAAGGTCGTATGACCACTAAGGCAATACGGTCAACGGGAATTTTAGAAGCCAAAAAAGGATGCATAATTAGAAATAATGAAGAAACATATTACACACAAGTTTATTACACGAACAAAATTTATGTCAACCCGGAAATACCATTGATAGACCTGGATGACATCAACAATTTAACATCGATACAACCGCTTGACTTATCAACAAGCCAACATAACACGCATTTTGTGAAAAACGATTATGAAAAACTTCATAATTCGTTAAAAGAATTAGAAGATCAGACCAAACAGACTGAAATGTCGCAACACGATGTCCATCAATACATCGTTTCGTACTCTACGATGGGACTTCTGATCCTGTCCATATTCGTCGCGGGAGGAGCCTACGTGTACTACAAACGCTGCGGCAAGCTCGCCGTCAGCGCCGCCGACACGCCAATCAGATCACCGCCCCAAAAACCACCAAGAGCTACAGCATCTACCTACGCGACACCTCATTCTTTTAACATATAACTTTATTTACATTTTTATAATTTTATTTACATTTTGTTTTACATGAATTTATTTACATTGATAGGATATTTTATAAGTTTTCTTAATTTTTTGCCCCGCCAAGATGTACGGTTAAGCAACCGCACATTGTACTTTGATTTGGCCTAGTTAGAATACTGCAAATTATGTTAATTTATAATAAAATATAAGATAGTCACGTACTCAAGTAGGCCAGTCTTCGGTATAATATCGAGCTCGCGCAACATTTAACATTTTAACATTTTTTATAACATTTTTAATTAATTTCTTTTTATTTTAGTGCATTTTCGTATTAAAATACCTTTTTAAACATTAACATTTATTTTATTAACATCCAACATTAACTGTAAGGGTTCAAGCCCTTACAGTTTGATAACTAGTAGTATGTAATATTATGATAAAGAGACTTGCAACTTTTGTACATATCTATTAGGGTAAGGGTTTTTTACAAAAAATACAATTCTGGTTAATAGCATTGCGTACTTGTTATGCGTTTGACTCTCTAATGTGTAGGTACATAAGCGTTATATTCAATAACAAAGAAAAATAATTAAAATTGAACATTTTTAAACTACTACTCACTTATTTTAGGTTGTTTCACAATTGAGGCAAGTTTTGTGATTAAAACATTTAGTGCACACATAAGTTTTATAAAAGGACTAATATAGCATAACAAGTACGGTCAAAATCGTAGTCAAAAAGGCAATTCCCATATTTTCACCGGTCCGTTACATCACCTAGTCAGATACCAGTTTTAACTATAGCTAGGTAGTAATAAATAAATTAATTTATATATAATTTTACGAGTGTGTCTAATTGGACGTATGGTTGTGGATATAGCGATAACATTTTTTTTATTTCTCTGTTTTTTTCTAACTCGCTATATGGGACCGAAACTTGCACAATAGTTTTCCATTTTTAATTGTTTTCGTTTTTTTTTTTCATTTTGTATAAAGTTTCTAATGATTTAAGTTCACTATTTATATTATGTAATTAAAAGTAGTAAACCGACTATTTATTTTTAATAAAATTTTGAGGATTTTTAGGGCATTTATACGTCTAAAATGATATGGCGTCGTTCGAGAAAATTCTGAACTCGTCAAAAGATATTAATTTCCACATTCAATTTATAATCAAGTACTTAATTAAAGTTTTTCATTTCATTTAATGACTTAGTACTAAGATACTGAAACGTCAGTATTTCCTTTGAATGACGTCATTGCATTTTTAACATGAGTTTTTGTATTCTCACAACAAATATTAAGGCGCGAACAAAATGTAATGTAATGGATATACCAAAACCACAATAAAAGAATGAGTGTTGGAATTAACAGAAAGGCGACAATGTTCTGTTTTTATTTGCAATCACCTTAATCCTTAATACCGAGACGGAATGAACATGGGGAATTAGAAAATCTGAAATGGTATGTATATTCGAAATTTATTTTATGTCGTGCACTCGTCTAACAATCCGCACTCATTTTCTCTGAATGGAAAAATGTAACTGCTATTTTGGACCGTACACTTCTCGGGTTGTTACATTTTTTCATTTAGGTAATATCCTCACGGCCTACTAATGCTTTTATAAACGTGGGTACTAATCTATAGGGGTACAGCATGCAGTATGCATGTTTCTTGTATACACTTACTATTTGTTGTGAGATAACAATAACTTGTAGGTATAACACTGCATGCGAAAAATGTTATTATTAACAATATGTATAACGCTCTTTTTTCTGCACGCAGGTAAAGGCGAACCTCTGTGGTGATGAAAGTAACGAAATGGTGCGACTGAAAATTTAATTATAAATAATTATGGTTATATTGGCATTTTATATTAAATTATAATAAAGAAAAAAGCATTCCTGCATATAAATGTCATTGGATGTAGGTGATATTTTGCGATTTATTTATATAATATTGTTGCCTATAAATAATTACCTACGATAGACAATAACTAAAGACACGAAATCCCACTGTATTTTATTTCGTTTTAGTAATGTATACTGGTAAGATAAAACAAAAAAGATAATGTATTAGTTGTTGCATGAAGAGGGCCCAACTAGATAAGGTATCGATTCAATTATAACTTGAGCCATAATCTGGTTGGTTTTTTTATTAGGTAATTAATAAGAAATATTTGGATAACTTATGCAATAAAATTTCCCAGTCTATACGTATCATCAGCCGATAGGTATGCACCAATGTAATATTATGTATTGTGCTTAAGATAAGCTTAATTTTGTACTACATTTTGTACGATATCTAGATATAAGTATATCGTGGTGCTTGAAAATGTGAATTTAACTTAATTGATTCCAATGTATGTTCCTCAATTTCGAACGGTAGTAACGCTTAGATTTATAAGAATAGTACGATTTGATTTTGTTTTATCGAAACACCTAGGGTATTTGGCATTTTTCCTGAAATGCAAAACGATTCGACGGCAAAAACACAGCGACCCGAATTCTACAAGAATTATCGAGCGACTTGCGACGATGACAATAAAACTAAAGACTGTAGAGCTCAATAAAATAGACATTATGTTTTTTTCTACTTACTAAGGTATTCTTTATGATACTTGACTTGAGAACGTGACCCCGTAGCTGATCAGCCATATTTTTTTCTACATAAACAAAATTTTTGCCCTCTGTCCAAAAGTTTTTGGCAGGTATTTATTTAGTTCCTTTGTTAGGGTTTGCAACATTGAAATTTTTTGTTTATTTTTGTTTGGTACTTAGGTTTTTCATTGAGAAGGCGAAATTATGGAGGAGGTTGGTTGTCTCAAGGATTAGTATTCTATGTAGGCAGATGTTACGATTGGCGGCAAAAAATAAAAAGCAAATAAACATAATTCGCTTTCGACACTAAATAAGTGTTGGTCGAATTTCCTATGTTTCCTACCTCTGAGGCAAGCAATTCCTGTCTCCCTTCCTTCCAAACTCAATAGGTAGGTCTCCCTTTTTGTTTAGTTTGTATTATTTAGAGTTGTGACTACATTATCGAATAAGGCGATTTTTTATAAAAATGTTAAGTTGTATTAACAGTCATGTACAGTATTATTTGCTGAATAGGTGTTATTTATTGTAGCTTGTAATTGCTTATTTTAAGTGCTTTGTTATATAATAAACGAAATGTGAATATTGGTGTTTGTTTTTGTGACTGATGGACATTTTTGATAGCTAGACCCCACTTCTAGTAAATCTACTATAAGGTATATTACTCTGGCACCCAGAGCTTATCTGATGAAGCATTCCGCACTATAGGAATTTGGCATAAAGGCAAAACAAAAAAGTAAGATTATTAAATCTAATTTTATACTTATTAAAAACCACTTATTGAGTACAAAAAGACATCTAAAACAAAATAAAGGAATGTACAAAAGCTAGAAACTAGAAACACTACATATTCTAATTAATTCTTACATAAATGTGAATGGATTGTTTATAATGAGCTGAACAAAATAACATATAAGTTGATTAGGATTGAATTTTTACTCATAAAATCAAGCAAGCAGAAAAAGTTAAGTACTGAAAGACCACATTACATGAGTTTAGAAATCAAATGTCATTCAATTTTCCATTTTATAGCAATTTGATAAAGTTGAATCTTGATTGAATTATGTTAAACACTATCTACCAGTATCTTTTGATTGAACATGTAATAGCTTTGTAGCTGTAGTTACAAGTTACACCTAATTATATAATTAAAACACATTCAAAACCCTTTGATGATAGGACAACTCTTATAACAGAGAGAGAAGATTAGTCCATCCATCATGTAGATATTTAGGGTAGGTATCTTAGTATAAAATACTCTGAAACTCATTATGTAAATCCATTCTAACATGCAATGATAATCAAACACATACATAGTATGTATTATAAAAAAAAATAATAAAACCATTATTTAAAGTGATAGACAATGCATTCAACAGTTTATTGGGAAAGTCAAAGGAATAAAATCTGTGGCTTAAATTATGTATCTTTGAATTTAAGAGCTGCACAAAGACATTACAATTATATCGAAGGCATGTAGTATTTTATCCAGCTATGGGACTAATTTGCAACTAACTTTGAATTTAAGAGCAGATCATAAATAACAATATTGTGGCCAGAAACATGATACCATGATTAAAAAAAAAACAAAAAGAAAGCTTTGGTTAAAAATAACATCCAAATATTTAATACTGTTGATATCATAGAAACAATCATGCAGCATTTTGTTTTTGTATGGATAACATTGTTTGAACTGAGATTTAAATGTTGGCTAATCTACGAGCTTATAACTAACAACAGTTTCCATTTTATGTAAACTAGTGGAGAAGGTTTTAAGTTGAACATTCTGTGCATTGGCTATCAATACTGGTTCTGCTTCCGCCCACTTTTCAGGAATATCGCAATCCGTTTTAGCGTGAACTAATACATCAAATGAACATCTACAATCTAAGAAAGGTAAGTATGATATTGTAGCAGCTACCTGCAACATTACATCACGGATCTCCTGCTGGATTTTCTTTAAGTCTTTACTGCCCACGGTTTCATTCTTCTCTTTAGATAAAGCTACATCTCCATCTTCATATTGAACATTGAAGTCCCAACATTCTAGTATTTCTTTATTAGCTACATTCAAAATTATAAGGGATAGCTTGCTGACTTTCTTGTTTATAATCCATTCTGAAATTTTTAAGAAAAAGTTTAAGCATAGTGATTAAATATCAACAATAAATGGTGAAGTTTGGAAGTAAAACATAAATAAACTTTTTAATTACATTTAATACACTACACAACACTTTTTGAGTAAACAATACAAATCAAAATCAAGCCCATGCTTACATAAAATTACCCAGGAGAAATGACCAAGTAGTACCTATAAGGTGTACATTATTTTGTTCTTACTTTATTTTAGTAGCATAGCAGGTCAATAAATATCATTCACTTACCTTCACTCTGTGTTAATAGATTTGTTAAAAAGCTCTTGATTTGAGCGTCTTCTGATATTAAAAGTGTGATTCCATATTGTTGTTCAGCCTTAAAAGTCTCCGGCGGATATAAACCTCTTTGGAATAGCACGGAATTAATAGCGAATTCTGAAAGTTTTGGTAAAAGTTAGGTACTTCACGGATATAAAACACCAATAAATTCTTTATTTAAAAACAACATATAACAATCATTCAATTATTTTAATCGTTAATTCACTATGTACTTACTGAGATATTCACAAATAATTTGTGCCGATCCTCGAAGAGTTATACAATTTTTAGTTTGTTGTTGAGACATCTTTCTGAAATAGTTCGACAAAAAATTATTTAATTTTAATGCAATTAAGACTATTGTTTATCTTCAAGAGCAAACAAGTTTAGTTGATCAAATCAAAGTATTATAAAACAAAACTTTTCAAATAAACAAAAGCCGACTACAAAAACGAACGTTGTTCCGTTTGACTGTTGAATTTTGAAATAGTAACATTAACATCAATTTTATAACCTTTCTGGACGAACTAAATTGTTACAATTCAGATTCAGTACAAAAATATATTTTCTTAGGCTGAAGTTTTAATAGGTATAAAAATATAGTTATAATTTGAATATAAGTTGAAGTAGAGAAATATCATTAAAAAGTACGTAGGTATATACCTACTTAAGTTTTCTATACCTAAATTGTTATTTCCAAACTAAGAGCAATTATTCTATATGTCTTAGTTTCCAAACGTTTCAACTACTGTGTTTTGTGCTAAAATACGTTTCGTTCTACAAAAGAGAATAACATTTTCTACATACAAAATGAAGGAAAATAATGTGTTATTAAATTACTTTTCAACTTCAACTAAAATTAGAATTGCTTACGAAGTAGTTTTCTTGTAGATTTGGCCGTTTTGGCATGACCCCTATTGAAAAGGTATTTAGGTACTTATCTATAATCAACACTCACCCTAGGTACATTTTTTTATAACTTATCGCTCGGCAATACGGAGCAGTGGAATGTAATTTCAAGTAAGTATTGTGTGTTTAATCAATTTGAATATTCATTAATATTCCATATACGGAAACATGCTGATGATAAAAGCACTCTGTTAAGGCTATAATTATAGTAATGTCTCGTTCTTGGATTTTGTTTCTATTACGTACAATACGTTACTTTATACGTTTATTTTATGAACAGTAAATTATTTATAGTACAAACCTATGTATTACTAAAAGCACAGTAACATCACTGTCGTGGTACGTTGATCTGTCAACTGTCAAAGTATTTTGACCATTGAGATAGAAAATATATAGAGGCGCCGTGTTACTATAGAAGTATACATGCTTATACAAATATGAGGGAAATATGAAACAAACTATGAAATATCATTTTTTCTCACTCTTTCTAAGGCAATAATTGTATTAGACAAAAGAGACAACAATATTTAAGTTGTTGCTTAATATGGAAACAAATCATTTTGACATTAGCAAAGTTGTAGGTAAGTGCCATGTCCGCCATCTTAAGCGCTCAGAGTACCTGAGTTTCATGGTAGTTGTCCTGTCAAACGGTTGTTTATGTTTTAAATTATTGCGGTTTTTCAGTAAATTACAAAGAACCATTTTTTTAAACTTCAAATATATATAGTGAAACAAAAAAACAATATGCCTGTTTGTAGTATTGTGCAGTGTGGTACAAAAAAGAACGAAAATCAACCTAAATTGTCTTTGTATAGGTTAGTAAACAGTTTTCATCAAATATTACTTAGAATAATCCACATAGGTAGAAAAAAATGTCACGGATACTTAAATCTATTGCCAAAGTATATATATTTACTTTTATTTCTGTCTGTGAGACAGTTTTAGTAAAAAATTGTTGTTTACAATAATATGTCAATATGGCATAGTTACGTACCATTTCACAAAAGTATCGATATAATCTCCCATTTAAAATTCAACATATATTATACTAAATAATCTATTTTAACAATGGATGTTTCCGCAGTTTTGTGTAAAGCTAAAGTAAGACGTCAGTATTTTGGTATTGGTTTTAGTTACATTAGTAGAAGTTCAAATTATCATGTTTTATAATTATACGGGCGCGATTGACAGAGCGGCGTTGGCGACGATCCCAGTGCGACCACCAAGCGTAATAATAAAAAGTGAGATACGTACAATAAGATTGACTTCACTACATATCTATTTTGTGCTAACGTAGTTTCGAAGATATCATCGCTTAATCAGACGCGCCGAAATTGTGCGCGAGCACTTCACAAATACCCACAGGTTTTCCACATATATAAAGATAAACATTTAACAAACACTATCTTTTTCTATTTCACCATTCCATTAAACGCTGTTCATAAACACAGTCCTATTTTTTTAAAAGACGCTTTACGTAGAATTATATGAATACAAATTCGACTTGAGAAAATCATTAGCCAATCAAGAGACCAAGTTAACCCCGGGTTCCGGGTTCTAGCTAGGCCGACGGCAAAGTAGGAACAGGAGTTGATTTTAGTCAGTAACGGTCTGTCCCGAAAAAGGCCGGAGATGACATTAGATGATTTCCCATAAAAAAATACCGTTAATCAGCTGGCTAATCCCTAAAACTATACCTACGTAGAACTTTTACTCAAATTGTATCGATACTCGTTAAATACTTAGTCGGCACAACCCTAGCAACGGCAGCCATCTTATGCGACATTTTGGATTGTAGGTAGGCACCTTCTTTTCGTAGGTATTTCAAGTCCATATATTTCCTATGTCAATGATTTTGACTTGCGATGTCAACAGTCAAAAAAAGCTTATCGACCTCACCACCCACAACATTAATTCTTCTTCATGACAACAAACAATATTTTATCACTTTCACGTTAGTGATAATGAGTGCAAAACATTAGTAATATGGATTGTGTAATTTAATTAGTGGGCACTTTGGACGAAGACACTTGAGCTTCTTATTTATGATTAATCTTCATTATGTGTGCCGCACGTTGAAGTAAACAATGGGCCGAACTCGTCGCAAAAGGAATATCAAAAAAGAGCGCGACTTTTGTGCCTGTGATAATCAAGAAGAAATAATTTTGCTGAACACCTGGCTCTCTAAGCATGGCATGCGACGCAACGATAAATTATCCCTGGCCGTGTTCAATGACACAGGCCGAGGAGTTCTCACGAAGAAGAAAATACAGATTGGAGAAGAACTTATGAATTTACCCCTAAACTTAACTATCAATGTCACAACGATATTGATGGACAATTTATTTTGTAAAATATTTTTAGAAAACTCTAAACCATGTTTGGTAGAATATAAGCAATCTATTTCCTTTCAATCTTTGATGGCATTTTACCTTGTATTTTTAAAGTTACGAAGTGGCAAAACAAAGTGGCATATTTACTTAGAAAGTTTGCCAAAAGAATATTCTGTACCCTACTTTCTGCCAAATGATGTTAAACAAAATATTGATAATGACATTCTATCTGTGATCTCGAAGCAAAAAGATATCATTGATTCCTCCTTTAATATTTTTGAAAATGTTTTATTAAGTAATGTAAGTGATGATAGTGCAATACAAGAATTTAAGAGCTCTTTTTCCTTATCAGCGTATGAGTGGGCTTACTTTACAGTCAATACAAGATGTGTGTTTATGGACTTAAGTAAGGTAGTTGATTTAAAAAACGTAAAAGATTCAATTATAAACCTTATATGTGATAATACAAAGATATCATTATGTCCTTACCTAGATATGATTAATCACAGTCCAAATGCGAGAAATGAGACCAAATTATTGGTTAGCAAGAATGTATCAAATGTAAATGTGAATAATTTAAGTGAAGAATTATTTTCTGATGTACATTTTTCTATTTACACCAAAAACAATTTTGATCCTTATACACAAGTATTCATATGTTACGGAGACAGTCATAATTTGAAATTGATTACAGAATATGGGTTTTTCTTACCTGATAATGACTTGGATTATGTGTCATTCACATTTGAAGAAGTGATTGCATTTTTGAGAACTAAATCAATAAAGTTATCACAGGATCAGATTTCTTTCATAAACAACCATGGATTACGTAAGGACCTATACATAGATTCTAAAGGCCTTAGTTACAATTTCTATGGTCTATTATTAGTTGTGAAGTACTATTATGATCAGAGTACAGATGTAAGTAGGTTGATATACTCTGCGGCAATATGTTCTCACGATAATAATCTCAATGACATTATTGCGCCAATGGTTAGAACTAAGCTGAACAGTATCAAGGAGTCATTAGAAAAAATAAGCAATATTAATAAATGTGTTATTTTAAATAATTGTGTAGAATTAATGTGTCAGTATGTTAGGATACTTGAGAAGTTTATTAAATGTTAGATTCGTGTTGTATATTGTATTTTTCATTTAACATTTGAAATAATTTTATAGTTACTCCATGATAATAAAAAGTATAGTCGATCTTATATTTTGCTTGGAATTTTTGTTCCCGTGTCGAAAGAATTGTTTCCGAAATATTGTATAGCGCCATCTACTGATAAATAGTGAAACCACTTGAAAAATGTAGTTCTTCGTAAGTAGGCAGACAGTGGTGGAGCGCAGGTTGCACGTAACGGCTGGTAGATAGTGCTAGTAATCTCACAAATAAGAATGATCTTATAATGATGAACATTTACCGGGAAATCTAAACACAACTTATTTAAGTTAATTCGTTTATTTTGCTCTTAGGTATATGTATAAAACGATTTAATAGGTTAGTATAATTTCCTAAGTAGGTACTATCGATAAAAACTTGAAATTAATTTCTCGACATTTGGAACTTACGATCCCAGCAATGGTGATGAAAGTTAGGAATCCAGTTACTTATGTATATACCAGTTACTGGTAAAATATACATAATATGGTTAGAAACTTGATCAAAGCACTTGAATGACTTCTAAGGTAATCTTAAAATAAAAATACGTAATGTTCAAAATTTTTATTTACCTTACTTAAGTATACTTAGATGAATAAATATTTATTTAAGTTTATTTACAGCCGGATTTTGTAATGTGTTATGCTACGTAAACACTACAAAGGGTAGGAGATAATTATAGAAACGATACCTACGAAAAACGACTAAGGAAAGGTGATAGATAGGTACCTACTCATACATTCTGTTACGACCTAAGTATTCAACAAAAGTAATTTATAAAATGTAAAATTAAGACGAACTTGTTTACCTACCTAAACCCACAGAACAACAAAAGATCATAATCGTTTACAGACGAACAAAAACAAGCGCCACAAATAATGTGAACAACAACAGTTTCTACGCCAATAAGTTGTCAAACAAAACACATAGGTTTGTTGCGAATATTCATGTTTTGAGAATTTCATTCTGTGACATTTACAGCGAGGGGGTACGATGCGGATACGAGACGATGTTAACATTACCATTAAGTATAAACTCTACGTTTTATTTTTTCTATTTTT